AGAGAGAGAGAGAGAGAGAGAGAGAGAGAGAGAGAGAGAGAGAGAGAGAGAGATTGCAATAATGATGTGTCAGTGATCTGTTCTCTTCCCTTCTTCCTCTCTTATGCGGCGGGCTCCACAGATATTTTGTCGGCAAGGCTGGATAGTGTTCTGGGAGGAGGCATGGTTTATCATTTAGTTGAGTGAGTGTGCTTATTTGGTTACCTTACTGCTAGCTGCAGGTCACTTGCAAGAGAGTCAAAAAGATGTCCTGGTCACGTTATGCACAACCGCAGAGATATAGAATTCTAGCCCAACTTCTTGACTTGTGCTTTTCTCCATTTTCCTTTTTCTGAAGCGTTGAAATTCACTCTTTAAAGTCCCTGGACTGGATGTCGAGCTGTGAAAATCGGGTATATAAGCATATTGCACGGAAAATCTAGAAAGTTTAAAGGTCCATCCCGTCTTTAAAGTCTTTCGAACTGGCTGTTGGGACCTCTCCTGAGATGGACAAACAAAGGTGAGCCAAGAATCACATAAGGGACACTGCTGGATTAAACAGGAGTGGTAGGCATTGGATGCAGATGTATGTGTGTGTGCATGAGGAGTGGGTTTGAAGAACTGAACCGGTTCAAACTTCAAAGCGAACTACATGCAATGTTAGGACCAGGCCTTTCCAGGGGATATCAAGTTTTTGGGATAAAATCTGGCAGTCTTATGTGTGATTTGGAAAACCAAGTTGTGATAACAGGCATTGGATTTCGGAACCTAGACCAAGCCATAGAGCCACCGGGATCTTGCTCTTCCTCCTACCTGTATTGATTAGCACTGCGGAGATGGACGAAATGTCATTTGGGGACTTAGGGAGGCTGTCTTGACGTCGTGTGTTTCTGTCTGTTTCTGTCTGTTTCTTTTTGTTGTTTGTTCGTTTCTGTCTGTTTCTGTCTGTTTCTTTTTGTTGTTTGTCTGTTTCTGTCCGTTTCTGTCCGTTTCTGTCAGTGACTCCTGTCTGTGGATCCTGTCTGTTCCTGTCTATTTCCATCTGTTTCGTCTGTTTTGTCTGTTTCTGTTTGTTTCTGCCCGTCACTGTCGGCCTTTGTTTGTTCGTTTTGCCTGGGACAGCGAACTGCAGGAGAGGGTGGACTTTGTTGTGTGCCTAGGTGGAGATGGAGTGATTCTTCATGCGTCCAACATCTTCCGCACAGCTGTACCACCAGTTGTCTCGTTTAACCTCGGTTCACTTGGGTTTCTCACTGCCCATCCTGTGAGTAAGCAAGTGCCTCCTATTTGAGTTCTTTGATTTTCTGCTTGTGCGGTTGCTTTTCTCTACTCTGCAGGTTTCAATTGGTGATCTGTGATATGTCGGCCCCGTGGTTGAAATCAAGGTTCTGGAGATGTAGATATAGACAATGGCACAACAAATAGTTTCTGTTGTTGGTGAACTTTCGTGTTTCATTTTTTAACCATTTGCAATGTAATCTCTTGGATATATATATATTTTTATGTGTTATGACTGTAGTCCGCTTAAATGCAGTGTTTGATGGGGTGCTTGTCATTTATTTAAATTATTTCCCATTGGTCAAATTTGGTGATGAAGGGACTCTTGTCCAGGTCTGTGGGAGGGACGCCGATTTTGGTCCCGCTTGTGGCTGATTCCACAGGTACAATATTGGAGGATCTCTAGGACCTATCGCGGGTTTGAAAGACTGTCACTTAGCCCACTATCCACATCCTTCAGAGGGTTTGTGGAGCTATAGTGCTTCCATTGTTCTAAGGACCATGCATGAGCTGTGGTGGTCAGAAAAAAAGAAAGGAATGGTCACTGGTGTTTCATTTTGTTATTAAATTTGTTTAAATAACGCTAAAAGTAGTGGTATTGCACTTGCATCGTGAAGTTCCCACTTATTCTACACCTCTCAAGTCATGTCAGAGAGTCGAACTAGAGTCGAGCCCAACAGGGGGTCTTCTTTCCCTGCCAATTCTTCCAAGCCTGTTCGTGTTTTGCAGGATGGTAGATAGGGACAATGGGAAGTATGGGGCTGGAGTTGGAGGGCTGGAATGTGCTGAGGAAAGGAACGGTGTTTAAACTTGGTAAATTACGAAAAGCCACCCAAGGACCATGAGCCCTCGTTGTCGGAAAGCAAAAGGAGTGTTGCTTGATGGCGTATGGGAAGGGGTTCCTTCGCTGCATGCATAACTATTATTTGCATCAGGACTGTTCAAATGCCTGAACATGCATGGATTTAAACAGACCGGAGATGCCTGAACATCATACAATCATATTGGCTTGCCTCTGATACGTAACGCAATCAGAACTGCAGCAAACCTCTGCAGGAATCGCAAACGGACCAATGCAAATAGCACTCCAGCCGAGGAAGGAGAGAGACGCAAGAGGAATTGGCTTGCCAATGATGCGTAAGGCAATTAGAACTGTGACAAACCTGTGCCACGGATCACAAACAGATAATGTGAATAGCACTGCAGCCAAGGGAGGACGCAGAGAAGAAGAGGAAGAGGGATGGAAAGGCTGTGAATATTGAGGGAGGGAGGGAGAATGGGCCCAATGGGGCTGGGGGGGGACATGGAGGAGGCAAACGGAGCGACAATGAGAGGACGGGGGTAAGAGACCGAGAGAGGAAAAGAGCGAGATGACTAGCTTGCCATCCTGATAGATGGATCAAGTGGTCGCATGGGTGGGTGTGTAGATAGATGAATCTGCAGATGATGAGTGAGGGGTTGAGGTTGAGGTAAATTAGCAACATGTCTTTGCATTCGTCAGTGTTCTTTTCAGCAGACCTAAGGTGGCATTTGAGGGATGCTTGGAGGATTTGGAAGACGCTTCCACGCTGGGTTCTTCATCAAATGACGAGCCACCTGGAAAACAATCCCAGTTGACTAAATTTACATTCAGCTGGGATCAGGTCAAATCTTGACGAGAAGGCAAGCTTGCTCTGTATGAACAGTTCAGCGCTGAGCCGAGATGTGTTGTAAACACTGGTCGGAGATGTGTTGTAAAATACTATGCAGCCCGCATGTGCGGGAGGGAAAGCCAAACTTATGGATGAACAGAATCCTCGACACAAAGTTGTCTTAATGTGAAAGCAGGGCAGGGCAGCTGCCATGATGCCCTGGTGATGTCGAGAGTGCCATTATGCCCGTGATGATCCCACCTTTTCTGTTCTTATTTATTCTCCTACTGATGCTGTTAGTTGAATGGTACAGTGATGAGCCGATGTTAGATTTTCAGTGCTGACACGCCACCTACAGGCTAGAGCCCATGCCTTCGAGCTGACGATAAGGGGGATGCTGATCGATTGTCAGGGGGGGAAAAATGGAAAAAAAAAAGTAAAATGTTGTCTTGTACCCAGCCTGTCTGGCTAAATGTGTCACGCATGTCGCTGTTGGTACACAAACCTGAGTTCGGATCGTAATGAGATCAGATGAGTGAAACAATTCTGAATTCCTTGTGGCTGGTCATCTTGATTATGGTGCCTCCAGGCCGTTCACCATTTTAATAAAAGTATGAAAGAAAAGGTGAAGGGCAAAAAAAACAGAACAGAATCTTTTTAACAGCCAAACCCCCATGTTGAATGCTGCTGAAAGGCATTCCACGATGCAGACCCCAAATTCGAATTTCAGGGTCAAGGTCTCAAGCCAAGGGAGGCCAAGTCGACCAGTTCAGAAAGGTTGCAGTCGGGTACCTTAGGAGTCAAGTCCAACAGGCACCAGGTAAGCAGTCACATCCTAAAGGCAAAAGTTGCATTCTGTAAGCAAAAGTCACGCCTCGTATTGAAAAGTCATGTCCCAAAGGCAAAGGACACTTCTCCAGGCAAAAGTCGTGTCCCAGAGGCAAGAGTCACATTCCAAAGTCAAAAGTCACGTTCCACAGATGAAACGTCATGACTCACAGACTGAAGCAGCAGCACACCAATGAAAATTCGGGAAAAGTACCGGGTCCAAGTCAAGCCAAAGGAAGCAGAGGCTGGGACGAGTCGAGTCTCAGTCCAAGTCAATACAAGGACTGGCCAGCCACATTTCAGGGAGACTGTTTCATTCGTGAGAGGTGTGGAAGTGCTGCTGAAACGCTTGTGCACTATCTGCGAGTAGCATGCGCGTGAGAGCCATGCTGGGCAGCACTGCACTGAGAGGGAAGGTGGCCATCGATGCATAAGTTAGTAGTAGGGATAGAGCTGAGTAGCAGTGGATGTATTCAGAGTCAAGATTCTCAAGTAGAGAGAGAGAGAGAGAGAGAGAGAGAGAGAGAGAGAGAGAGAGAGAGAGGAGTATGCATGAAGAAGACCCGGAGGGACAGAGAGAGAGAAGACAGAGAGAAAGAAAGAGTGAGTGAGCCAGCGAGAGAAGAGAGTCACCTACCTTAGATGAGGATGCTGGTATTGGGTTGCTGAATTCTGCGCTGTTGAGCGCTTGGTGACTGGATCTCCGAAACTGTTCAATGTGATAATTTGTTGGAATTTATAAGCTGCGCATATCTGGACTTCCCGTCTCTGGACCCCAGTGTGGATTTCGTGTAATCTCTCAATATGTGTGTGTGTGTGTGTGACCAAGCTGTCGAGCAGTGAGGCTCGATGCACTGCAACGGCAGGGGACAAAGCCCCCTTGTCGGATACAGCAATGTCAGGGGCTTCCCTTTTCTCCTTTTCTCTGATCAAGAGGGCACTGTTAATTGGCATTCGCTGATTAGTGAGCATCAAGGTCATAAACATTCGATCCTCTTGCGGTTTTGTGAAAACTTAAAACACCAAGTGGGAGGACATATGTCGAGGATGGTCGGTTTTGATGTCTGTCGGTTGTTGTCAGTTTCTTGTGTTCCTCTGTTGGCGCGGTTTCTGGCCTTTTCGGATTGATTGCCACAGGCAGATCCCTTGTTCCATGGCCCCCTTCCTCACCCAGATTATCCCTCACTCAAACCCTAGCTCCTTTGCTCCCTTTCCTCTTCCCTTCCTCTCGGTCCCTTCACTGTCTTGATGATGGCTGCTAACTTGGTGGGCAGGGTTGATGGGGAACTCGGGTGGGCATTGCCGGTGGTGCCTGGTTGAATGCAGTATGAAGAATTCAAACAGGACTTGAAGCGAATTATCTATGGCAATAGCACAATGGATGGTGTATATATTACTCTGCGGATGAGGTTGCGCTGTGAGCTTTTCAGAAATGGGAAGCCTATTCCTGGAAAGGCAAGCAAACCTGTCTTCCCATGCGTACCTGTTCTTCTGTCTTTCCATGATGATCCCAAGCAGTGTCTCATGTGTTGTGGTGTTTCTGCTCGCTTTTGAATCTCTGTGTCCCTCTCTCCTGTCTGTGCTTTCCCCCACCCTCCCTCCTTCCGTTCACCCTGCTGATTGTTGTGCCCATAAGAGGACCTTAAACCACCAGTACATCTGGAGAGTTCAAATGAGCCTCACCAAAAAGTCAGGGGACTCGGGTCAGGCCGTGCCTGGGGGCGGGGGTAATTTTTTTTTTTTTTTTTGTTCAGGCTGGGCCTAGTGTCACGCCACGGCATGGGACCATTTTTTTTCCCTGCTGGCCCTTCTGACGCCCTGGCCCGATCCTCCAAAATTTTAGGAGAGACTCCATCGGATTCTCAACTTGGCTGGGGCGATGTACTGGTGGTACAAACTCGTGAATCATGCGCTTCTTTTAAATTGTGCCCGTTCTGTTTGTTAATCGTGTTGACTTGGTAGATTATGTCCTGGCGGGCCTTTGTTAGACGAAGAGAAACTCACCGTTGCTGGAGGGTTGTGGGTTTCGAGACCGCTTCTACTTGCAAAGGCAGGAAAAACCGAGGAGTTTCCATCATGGGTACTCTGTGTGGGACTATGTGCAGTAAGCCCAGTTGCCTGCATCTCTGTCAGTTAGTGCCCATCCCAGGGTATCAGTTGCAGGGCTTGATAAATGCTTGCCTCCACCAGTAGTTGTTACGGGACACATTATGGCTTGAAGCAATGGTAAGGGATTCTGCAGACTGTCCTGGTTTCCCGCGTCTCTGTCTGCCCGTGCCCATCTTGGGGATTCTGAAGACCTTTGCGGGTTCTGATGGGTTGGTGCGAACCCAATGACACATGAACGGTTCAGTAAGTGGTTCTGCTTGAGAATTTGTTATGTAATATGTATTGGACATCGCTGTGCTTACCTGCATGTATATGTCGTGGATAAGGTACATGTGATTTAACGAGTGCATGGTCTTCTGTGATGGCTGTGGTCCTATCTTCATGGTCTGCAACCGACATGCCATTTCTTGGGAGTGCTTGGTGGGGATGGTGAATGCATGCCATTGTGGCAACTCTTCAGCCAAGAATGCTCAGCTAGATCATCCATGTTATCATCCATCTCATCCCTACCGTTCATGTCCCTTCTGTCGTCAAGGGCGGACTGACTCCCGAGTCCTCTCTTATCCTTCCCTATGCTCTCATCTTTATTCCACGGTCCTCACTTGGTCTTGGTCGTCCTTCACTCCAACATCTTTGCTCTCCCCCCTCTCCCTTCTCTGCCTCTTTTATACAGCATACAAGGGCGCCGTTATGGCACATGGGGGTGTAGACAGCTTGCGCTGAACTACATCAACGTGGCGAGCCTTGTACGTGAGAGGCACGGTAAAGGGAGAGCTGAAAGAAGAAATAAATAAAGAAGGCGTGAAAAAAGCCGAAAGAAAGAAATGGGCTGGGCTCAGGTGGTACACCCATGAACTGCTGAATTACACCCTCAAGTCCGAATCCCAATGTCCGCCCAGATGAGCGGAATGACATAACTCTGAATTACCTGGAACCGGTCAATTCAATGATGATATTCCACGGTCGTCGCCCTATTAATTAAAAAAAAAAAAAAAAAAAAAAGGAAAAGAAAAAGCTTCAGTGTTTCTTTCTGTTCTTCTTGCGTTTGCTGCGTCTCTCCTGCTATTTTTCCACATTTGTTTATGAATCTGCTATTGGTTCATTACTGCGTGTGAGGCATCCGTTTGGGCTGTGTTTCTGTTGTGGTAATGATGTTTCCCTGGTTTTGGATACTGAACTTGGGGATATGAGGGGGTTTCCTGTGGTGAAATAATGTCTCTAGCTACAAATTTGGGAATGTGTCCTTGGGGGTTTTCCTGGAGAGATGCTGCAGATGCTGTAAGATTTTTCTTGTTAGATGGTCAAAGTCTTTGCCTGCCTCCACTGGTGAGATTGGGTTGCTATCTTAGTATCTTACCAATTGGTTCTTTTTTTTTTCTGTATTCTCTGATTGTAGAATCTTAATATGTCAGCATGATCCATGGGGACTATTCCACGTTTTGCCGTGGGTATAAAGTCTCCTTTCAAAATCCCTGTTCTCGCAGTGTACTTAACAGTTTCTTTTTTTTTAACTAAGCCATATTCTTCACTCATATACCTCACTCTACCTAACCTTCACCTAATTTTACTTCTGATTGCTGCAGTATAGCACACAAGCTGGGGCGCCCCTAAGAGTTATGGGTTGGCAACTTGGCACCGACCTCCTCGCGTGTCTAAGCACCACAGCTTCTTCCTAACCCTGGGCGATGGATGGGAGGGCAACACAAACCCTACAAAGCCCTACCAGGGGGGAATAAGCCGACTAACTCAGCTGGTGAGCCTGTAGCGAGTCGGAGGAGGCTGTGAGGGCTCGAATGAAGACTGTGGGGAATCAAAACCACGACCTGCTGAATGCCACTTTCGTGCTCTACCAACTGAGCTAGGCCGCCGACCTGATTTCTTCTTGTTTTCATATTCTTGATGCTCACAAATTTCTGTCTGCTCTTTCATACACAGTTGTTTTCGATTCAGGGACTGTAAAATCATTCCCCCTGCTGATGCAAGTTTCTCATCATTCTGTTGTTTACCTGTGCTTGGGGAAGGTGGTGTTGTAGGTGAACGACTCCCCAAACGCGAAAAAAATGTTTCCAATTGTGCGTGTGTGGTTGAAAATCCTGTTTTTTCGAACTGTGTCTTTTGAGTTCTCAATGATGCAATTGTTGTTGGCTTTGACTTTTACTCCGTGTAGTGCAGGTGTTCGATGTTTTGAATGAAGTGGTGGTTGATCGTGGGTCCAATCCATACCTTTGTAAGATAGAATGCTATGAGAGGAATCGACTCATAACCAAGGTCAGGCTCTCAAGCAGTGCGCCCTCTTGGATGTTGCTTTGGCTGCACTTGTCTGTGTTTCTTCTCCTTTCTTCTGGATGATGTCTCCTTCGCCTCCAGCTCCTCTTCCTCTTCTTCTTCCTTTTCTTCTTCCTCTTTGTGGGCTTTGGCATCTGGTAAATGGACTAGTTGTCTGATCGTTGCCCATGGGTGCCAGAGCTTTTGGTGGCACATCTGACGTGTCATGGCGCAGAGCTGTTCATGAGATGTGCCTGTTCCGTCCTGCAAAAAACTGCTTCGATGGAGGAGGAGCATTCCTTGAGCCTGAAAGAGGGTCATCGTACAAGTGACATTTGTTTTGTGTGGCTGTAGCAGCACTGTGACAGTCCTATGGCCACGTAAACGTCATATAGATCTCATAGAATTCATGCTATGGCTATTAGATTATTAGTTCACTACAATCTCCGAGGCGCTCTCATCTTGTGCCAGTGTGCTCTCTTGTTTGCAAGGTTGGATATGATGAAGAGCGAGTCGTGAGTGTGAAGCCATTTGTGAAATGTGGGATCAATGGATCATTGCATTATGATCATCATTCATAAAAATCCAGTTCTCTGGTGAAACCAAGCACTGCCAACAAGGCTGTCGCGACTCTGAAGAATCAACAGCTGGACTGATGACATAGCTTTGCTGTGTTAACAATTGAAATCGATGGTTGTATTGATGGTGCAGAGCTCATCTGGCCAACCATTGCCTCAGGTATGTGGAACAAAAGGAAGGTAGCGCGGTAAAAAGTTCTTTTTTTCCTTGTGGGACTGCATTCGGGAATCAGTGAAGGCGTCAAAGTGACGACATTCAAAAGGATAAGCCATCTTTTGTCCTCGATAAGTTATCTTTTGTCCTTGACGTATTCAGATTGCTGTTGTTCGGTATCCTGACTACAGGTTCAAGCAGATGGCGTCATCGTTGCAACACCAACAGGAAGCACAGCCTACTCCACAGCTGCAGGAGGATCAATGGTGAGTTGAAACTTAAAAATGCGAACTGGGCATAGTTCGGGAGCTTATATTTGAATCTGAAAAGAAGTTAGGTTCATGAAGTATCCAATCAACTTGCTGAGACAATGCTGACAGCAAAAGAGTCAACCAATCAGATGCTTGATTGGAATTGCCAAAAACTTCGGTTGCGCCCTCTTCTCGCCATCACAATGAGCACAAACACTTGCCCCTTGCTTGACCTCTGAAATACCAAGAATGAACTGACGAACGGGCTGGCAGCAGTTTTGCCCAATATCGTGACACCCAGCATAGTGAATTGTGCATCTACCAGCAGCTTAGCCAATACCCAGAACCTAGTCGCCTCCCAAGCCACCCTCCCAGGTTGGAAACCCAGGACTGCACTGCAAGAAAAATAACAAAAACTGAGTCCTACTGGCGAGGGATCTAGCCCCAGCAACGATCATCACCACAAGATGTGCAGGAACACAATGCGGTTGGGCCTTGGCCAACAAAGTATCCTTTGATTAATTAAAAAAAAAAAAAAAACAGGTCCTCATGGGCCTGCCTCCATATGCAGTCTGGGGAGCATCAGTCCAGTTCCTTTTCCACCGGCAAGTCGTATATTTTACAATATAACTGACTCTCTCTTCCATCCGTCTGGGCAAAGGACCCCTGATCAGCATTGATTAATCCACAAGTGGAGCATTGATTATCAGCTTGCCACTGTCATCCCTATCCGCTTCCAGCCTTGCCGCGAGTCTTATCTGCATATAAGATTGTTAGCCAGAAATGAGGTTGAGCGCCATTCACTGGTTCTCACGTCCGTGTGATATGCTGGGTTCCTTCTCGCTGAAGGCTGGCATGTCTTGCCATTGCTAACTCTAAATTGTCCCCGTACCGTCTGATGCGTAGCCCTTGAATCGTTGCCACCTTGCCCTTCGCAAGCCAGGTATATTGGAATTCCCCTTTGAACATCGACTCTGCATCTGGATCTCCTTGCATGAGTAATTTGGTCTTCCTGACTCTTCTTCCATTTGCATGAGATCTTATCCTGAAGAAGATTTTTTTGTTGCTGCCCACATGTTCTCTCTTGGGTCCCTTGTGTCTTCGAGTGTCATACTGCATCTCTCTCTGTCTTCCTAACTCTTCCACCATTTGCATAAGGTCTCAGCCGGAATAAGATTTTTTGTTGCTGCCCAAACCCTCTCTCCGGTGTTGCTAGTGTCTTCGAGTGTGATGCTGCATCTCTCTCTCCAGATTACTGATAATGTTGCCTTCCGTGCCAATCCATCCCAAACACCTTCTGGTTTGTTGAAGGCAACGGGGATGTTAGTCCATAGAAGAAGCTGGGTGGGGTGTTCCGGGAAAGGGGAAGAGAACAACCGGAGCCATAGATAAGCTACGTTAGCCTGGGCTAGAGCAGCTGATCTACGGGTCCGCTTATTTCAATCAACACAATTGGGTTGCATAAGTAGCCACCTGCACGAGTGGTGTAATGGCTCCCCCCCTGTCTCCAGCATGGGCTCAGTGAGAATTTAATTCTCGGTGAAGTTGCGAAGTACCAGTGGCTTAGACGGTAAGACCCTGTGCACCTTTGGGTCGAATACTAGGGGCCTTGTGTTGGGGTGTTTGGTAGTTTGGGAAACTTTCCACTTTGTCTCACAGATCTACATTGCATAACCTTCTTGATGTGTACAGGGCGGAGGGATGAAGTTTATCTCACCACGTACATTTCGTTCTTGCTTTTCTTTGCCACCCCTCTGCTCTCCGTTCTTCCTTCCTTTACTCTTTGTCGCCTTCCCTTCTGATCCCCTTTGCTGGCCCTTTCCTCCTCTTCACTGTTGGATGATGTAATGGAATACAACCGAACAACTCCGTAGTTCTGAATGTCGCAAGTTGCTTCTTGCTGTTTCAAGAGGTTTGGAGGGGCAAGCTTGTGTGTCAGCTTGTATATCTATAAGAGGAGTGCGAGCTCGGTTGTCGATTTCATGAGTGAGTTTGTAAGCCATCACTTGTCCACTCGCTCTTTTGGCCTGGCCAAACATTCTTTCTAGCCAAACGACTGGTCTGCAGGGATCTCATAGACAAGGGGAAAATTGGAGTTCAACGACTCTTATATCAAATCTGACTGATGGGCACATGTAAGTGCCTTGTGGCTGAATGGCACATGTGTAACTTTTTTATAAGCAGATCATGGGTCCTTATTGATATATTAATGTCAGGGACTGCTCTCCTTTTTTTTTCTTTTTTGAAAGTCGGATGACTATGTCTTTAGACCTGTCTTCTTGTGACAACTGTCGGAATGTCCTGGGCTTTCATGCTTTTCGTGCTTTGTATTCACTTGCACGTGTTGCTTGGTTTTGTCGATGCTCCAGGTTCATCCGAATGTACCATGCATGCTTTTCACTCCAATTTGCCCACATTCACTTTCTTTCCGGCCAGTGATTCTTCCAGATTCAGCGCTCCTTGAGCTGAGGGTGCGTGCCTCTTCTCTTCTCCTCTTCCGTCCCCCTCCCATCCATCACCTGCTTCCTGGCACTCTCCAAAAGTTGCATTTTACATAAACTGCTTGTTCTGTTTCGTCTGTGGTGGAGACTTCATCAGCCTGGAAGGATTGTGTTTCTGTCAATGTTCTTCCTTCCTTTATCTCTGCTCCTTGAGCGGAGGGTGCGTGCCTCATCTCTTCTCCTCTTCCCTCCCCCTCCCATCCATCACCTGCTTCCTGCTACTCTCCAAAAGTTGCATTTTACATAAACTGCTTGTTCTGTTTCGTCTGTGCTGGAGACTTCATCAGCCTGGAAGGATTGTGTTTCTGTCAATGTTCTTCCTTCCTTTATCTCTGTAAGTATTTTGTGCAAGCATGAGGATCAACCCCATTTACCTTCCCCACTCCCCTTCCCTTTCCGATCCCTCCTTGGCGGTCCATTTGGGCTTGGTTTAGGTACACAAAAAAGTGGACGCTGTAGGCCTCTGTCTTTGGCTGACGAAAAACCTAAAGCTGCCAGGCGGTGAATCACTTTCCGCATATCAACGAGTAAAGTGACGGGACCTGCTCGTTGAATGCATACAATTCGACTTTTCCCATTGTATGTTCAATGATATTCGAAGGCCAAGAAGTGGGAGAGCGTGGAGGAGCTGATAAGAAACCCGAGAAAAGCCGCCCTGTGGGAGCCTTTGCCTCGTCCAGTTATGAGCGCCTTTGAAAAGAAGGGCCGAAGGCTAAGCCCTACTTCGAGAAATCATGCTCAAATGATGGTATTGCAATGAGCATTAGTATAACACTAGGAAAAATAGTCAGCACAGCAACTTTTGCCTTCCTTCAAGTTCCAGGTGCAAAGGGTGATGACACTCTGGACGATGGTGGAGATGAAGACGATTGGGGCGATGAGAGTGACTGGGCCGGGGGCACAGTTTGATGATGATGATGTTCAGAAGGAAAGAAGGAAAAGAAGAGGAAAGAGGTAGAAGGAAGAAGAATAAGACGAAAGAAGATGAAGAGTGAGGGAAACAGAGCGAGTGGAAGAGTACCATGAACCGCGAAGTTCGTTGTCAAACTTCGAAGTTTGTACACCAACTCTGAAAGGTGGATCCTTAGCCCGCATAGTTTTTGCTGGACTGATTTGTTTTGGGGCCAACAGTGCTAACGAACAGATTGTGGGATCAAATTCCTGAAGAGGGAGATCTGTACAATGAATTTAGAGGCTATCCGGTAAGGTGAAAGAAGAAGAAGAAGAAGACCTGCATTGGGCGAGTCGATTTGCTGTAAAGGTTGTTGTAACTTACCACGAATCACAGTAGGGAGGGGGTGAAGGAAGCAATGAGCGGTGATGGCACAGTTAGGGTGGTCGAGTGTTGAGCAGTTCCTGTTGGGCCAAATGTTTTGGGGTCGGACATTGCCAATGAACAGACTGTGGGTTCAAATACCTGCTGAATCGTATGCATCCAATAAAGTTAGCTGCTATCCGCTGAAAGAAAGGAAAAGTTGAAAACAACTGACAAAACGTTTTTGGGCCGCATGCAAGGCCAGAAACAGGACCATGTATGCCCTCATCACCCCCGATTATTTTTTCGGTGGGTGGGTGGATGGGGCGGGGCCGTTTGCGCTGGGCACTCCTGGCAGCTCCTGGGTGCTCAGCCAAGTCCGAGCTGGCTAGGTCTGCCTGGCAGTGTCGCCCAGTGGACCCTGGGAGTTCCAGGCCGTCCGGGCTGTAACCCAGCTCAGATGTAGAAATACTAAGCAGGCATCCCGAATATCCTGGAATTGTGGAGTGGAGGTATGGTCTTTTCCCCCCCTATTGCTGTTTGGCTCCAACTCATTGGTTACTCGGACCAGATTGTGAGGCGTTGAAGATAGCTGGAATAGATAACTCATCTGTTGGTGTGTACTCGCTTCGCCCAGGTACTGGGAGTGGGCCCAGGACTTGACAGCTAAACCACCACCACATCCAAGCCTCTTGTAAGTTCCTGCCTGTGCACGAGTGGGCCACGGCGTGCGTTCGTGGGCCAGACAGTAATGTTGTACACACCCACGGGCAGCTTAATCAACCGGATTGTGAGGCGTTGAAGATAGCTGGAATAGATAAATCATCTGATGGTGTGTGCTCGCTTCGTCCAGCTAGTGGGAATGGGCCCAGGACTTGACAGCTAAACCACCACCACATCCAAGCCTCTTGCAAGTTCCTGCCTGTGCACGAGTGGGCCACGGGGCGCGTTCGGTGAATGAACCTTAGAACAAGAATGGGCCAGAAAGTAATGTTGTACACACCCACATGCAGCTTGTTGTTTCGTTGACATTTCAAACGTGTCATCAAATCTGGGGTAGATGATACTAGCTGTTGCGGTCCCTTCGTGGCATCATGTGCTTTTCCAACATTTGGAAACGTGTCTGGAACACCAGTCTAGCAGAGTCCACTTTTTCTTTTCTCCTCTTAGACAAAATAGAGTGTGATGTATGCCTCCATGACTCGCCAGTAATAAAAGAAGAATTGTACTGCAGCCACAGGAGGGATCAGTGTACCATGCTTCTGTGCAACGACTTACAGCATAAGGACCATCCTTATGCCCTGGAATCAAAGGAGTATTTGACAATTTGTTGCATTTCTCAGCCCATTTGACCGTTCTGTATACAGATGGCTAAGAGCAGTGCTTGTTTGCTGTGTGCATCATAGTCATGCGGTCTCTTTCTTGGAGCTATCCTAGAAGTACCTACAGTTAGTGGCCACATATGATTGGTAAATCAAACGCTCTTCGGTTGGGTGGGTGGCATATGTCATCTGGGCTATGGATAGCTAAGGGTAGTGCTTATTTTGCTTTGTGTTTGACAGTTGCAAAGTCTCTCTCTTTTGGAGCTAACCTAAAAGTACTACAGATATAATTGACGAATCAGGGGCTCTGTGATTGCGCGGGTGGCATGTGTTTTTCCCGGATTCCGTCTCTTGGCGATAACCTAGAAGTACTACGGTTAGTGACCACATATAACTGACGAATCAGGGGCTCTGTGATTGCGCGGGTGACGTGTTTTTCCTGGATTCCGGTCAGCCTGGTCTATTGATGTAGTGGCGGTTGTTGAGAAAAAAAGAAAACCAATGCAGCCTTGCATAGAAACTGGAAAGTTTTGGATGAAAACCCGTTTCAGACCATCAGAATAGTTGAGGAAATGGACCATGATTGAAGGACTATGGCTTACAAAGCCTGATGCAAGGGTTGTCAAAGAGAGAGACTGTTGTCATTAAGAAGCTCAAGCAACACTGCCATTATAACGAAGCTCCAGGGACGCTGCTGGCATGAGGAACTGCACATTGTGTCCTGGTCACTGAAACTGAAGAAAAAGGGGATGTATAAGATCAAAGGCTGTGAAAGGGAAGGTGCGTTTCCGTGTTTTAGGATATGAGTAGAGGTAAAACTGTTCAATTGTTGGACTGGCTCATCTCAAGGGTGCTTCACTGTCTGCAACAGAGGTAAAGCTGCTTCACTGTCTGGAACAAGGGCTTCTGTGGTGACAGTCTACAATATGCATACGGATCCACAGACACACACACACACACAGTGTTTGCTGTGGGTGTCATTCCCGCGGACTGCTCTTTCGGAGCACCTGGAAGAATGGAGTAGCTTCACTGTAGCACTAGGACATCACCGGATTCTGCAGGCTGCACGGCAGGGGGAGGTTCATGGCACTCTTGTTGTTGCGTACAGGTCCTGCTGTGTCTTTTTGAATTGTGGTGGCGTTGTAGGCCGGCGCAGAGGGCTCTATTTTTTTTTATAAAAAGACCATTGGCATGTGTGGTCGGTTCTTTTTTGTTAGTGGAGCCTTTTGTGTTATGCTGTTTGTGGTTTTGTGGGTCGTTGTGGAGGCTCTCTAAGTTGTTTCGCACATATGGTGGATGGGGTCGGTGCTTTCTTGCTGTTGGGGTCCTCTGTCTTTGGTAAGTTGCTTCTTGCCCTCCACCCTTTTATGGATCAAATAAATATATGTATATACTATATATGTATGTGCAAGTGCGCCGCTTCGGCGGCAGACGGGTGTGTGGGCTCTTGGCGCTGAACCCCACAAACGTGGCCCACCTTGCATTTTCTATTATGTTGTCCAACTTGTCCATCTATACTTTCTCGTTGTGGATGATGTCTTATGATTTGTGGAGGAAATGAGAGAGAGAATTTGGGATGCTTTAACAACACACTGCGAAGTTCATCATATACCTCTCCCCTGCCATTTGCATGTCGTACTCTATCCTACTCTTCACTTATTTCTCTCCTTCCCTTTGCACTCCACTTCCCCCTACCGCATACTCCTATAGAACGGCAATCAGACTCGATTTCAGACTTGCTCACAACATGCATACACACGGACTGATGGCAAAACCAAACTCACCAACTCAGAATCAACAATGAACTTGCACTTAACCTCTGTTCAAGACAACTGTACAACTTGCGGCTATGGCCGCCAAACAGTGTCTCCACGACCAGCCTCGCTCTCCCCTATGCACGCATGTACGAGGATCACCCTGAATGTCCACGCTACACAGACTCTGTCTGCACCAACAGCTGGGGGCCTATGGCCGCCGTCATCTCCCTCCTTCTAGCTATGGCCGCCGGTGTCTTCCTCACTGACCAGCTATGGCCGCTGTCTTCCTCACTGCCCACTTCCTCTCTGGGCACCTTCAGACCTCCACGCACAAGATACTAAGGCAGCTCTTCCGCATGGCTCACAGGCCAATGAATGAATGGCTGGACGCTGCCTCTTTATTTATACCTCTTCGGAGGTACCCGGTCCTGCCTCCAAACTGCATGGCCTGCGCCACAACACGTGGGCCTCTGGACCCAAACCGCGTGTTAGGCCCGGGTCCGGAGGCTTCCAAACCGTGTGGGCCTTTGGGTCAAAACACGTGGGCCTCTGGACCCAAACCGTGTGGTGCAGGCCCCAAAACGTGTATTCTGGAGACTTCTCCAGAACGGGTGGGCCTTCCCTTTTCCCCACGTG